GTTTCACAAAGTTCAAAGAACCATTGCAAGAAGAATTTGCAATAGGTATCTAGCAGAATAGTGACGAAGTCCATCCCAAGTGTTTTTGGTGATCGATGCTATGCTATTTTGTAGAGAAAGATAAAAGACCCAAGGACAGAAGAGTAATGCTTACTTCTATTAATCTAGTAGAGTGGAGGGAGCATACAAATGAGAGCTGTGAGACATCAGACATGCCAAAAGTACTAGAACGTATAAAGGGTGGGAGGAATATAGGGAGGAGAGTGGGACGAATAGAGGAAAGAAGAGAGGAAAACCTTGAATAAAATAATTTCCATGGCATAATTGAACACATAAAGAAAATAGAGTCACCTTTGTAATATAACAGCCCAGATTTCTTTACTTTCAAATAAGTAAACCTCACTGAAGAATTATGTAATATAGCTGTCAAATCTATTAAACTGTCCCATTTACCCATTCAACCTCTTAATGTCACTCTTGAACTCTGAATTAAAGAAAAGAAAGGCAAAAGCCCCTCTCTTAAGTACATGTCCATAAAATACTTTAGCTCCAGGTGGCCACATACCATTATACTGTTTGCTCTGGTATGGTAACAGACAAAAACGTGGCAGTACAGCAACAGTCTACTTGAAAAGGGGTTACATAAGGCTACCTTATGAGTAGTTCCTTACTTCAGAGAAAACCTTCAGTTAGCTAAAAGACTCATGTGTAAGTTCCACCCTTTTTGATCCATAACTTTTGACCAGAAAGTCGTAGTAACATGGAACAAAGAGCTACTTGAAGCTCTCGTTTTGCAAAAACAAATAGACTCCATTTTGACCCTGTAGCTCCACCACAAGACAGTGAAAAATCTATTTAAAAGGTTGTTATGCACAGTGTCACCATGGCAACCATAAAATTTCAAAAATTTCTCTGCGCAAACTAAATGTCCAAGAATAATTCATTTGAAACACCAGTGAATACGGACCAATAAAGGGTGTGGCATTGCGAGCCATGTGATACAATGGATTCTGGATCTTCAATTGTAAGTGTCTCCACAGTGACTCCTTTTCATACATACACTTACTGAAGGATTTCTAGCATTATGATGCTTAGTGCCAAGCCTCCAGTCCAGCATTATTTCTTCGTAGGTGAGCTTTGACGGTTGCCATTTTGTCGCTTTCACGTGAGCTGAAACACTACGTCATCTTGATTATTTGGTCTAAAAATCAAGATGACGCACTTCCGTGTCCGTGCTCCTTTAAGTCTTTGTGAACATGTAATAACATGCAGTTGTTGAGTTGTTTCTCTGTCATTGTAGAACGTGAGTTGAAATGGTGTAATTTTCAAAAAAGCCAGTGAAGTAAAAGTGGGGGGGCATAGCCCCCATGTCATTAAAAGTGGGGGGCAGCTGCCCCCCCTGCCCCCCCCCCTATTCCTACGCCCCTGTTCAAAATTATTATTTAGGTTTATATTACTACTCAGAAATCAGCTTTTGCCCTTCATTTGGAGGCTGTCAGACCTAACTAGGCATTCTAATTTTACACCTTTTATTAGCTTCAGTATGAAAACTAGTGTACCTCCCAAACAATGTAATTTAAATGTTACTTTGATCTTCAGGCAATATACTGTTGTACAGAATAGAGAGCTGTTCTATTCTATGTAACAAGTTGCTTATAACATCAAATTAACCACAGAATGTCTGCAATAGCATTGTCTCGTGTATGGTGGGGCTTCATTAGTTATGTCACTGCCCACATTCTTAATTAGCTTTTAATTGAATTTTGTCAATAAAAATGCATTGACCATTGCTCTGTTCATTAGTCTCTTAACTGATTCCTCATAGTGTCTAGTAGTACTAACAGGGTTTAGTTTGAGAAGTGTATAGTGTTGTTTAGTTACTATGTTGAGTCCTTTAGTTAGTAATAGTTAGTATTTCATTTTATGATGTTGGTTGGTTATAGACCCTATAGGGCGCTAACTTCTAGAAGCAATTATAGATACCGTATATGAGACACTATTCGTAATCTTCCGTATCCTATCCGCATTCTTTAATGAAAAAATTTTGAAATTCTCCTGCTGGACGGCAAAACCAGGCAAAACCAATGGATAGGAGGCCAAAAGCAGCCTTTGTGGACAAGTGGCTTCAAGTGCAATGAAGCTTTTTCTCAGGAGACATTCTGGGCTCTATTCTTCACTGTTACTGGCATTTATTGCCACTCAAACAAGCTCTGGAAGCCACGAAGGCCTCTTGTTCCTTGTTTCCCCATGTAGCTACACGGTATCTTGCAGTCCAAATCATGAGTGTGGGTGGATACCGTAATGCAATAATTACTTGCAGAACTTAGCGCCCTATAGGGTCTATAGCTAGTTAACTATGATCCAATTAGACTGAACTATAAGTGTTTTATTTCACATTAATTCTGTGTAGTACATCTACATTGTATGTACTGCACTTTTACTATTTTGCTTACTTTAAAGTTGTTTCATTCATTCTTAAGGATACTACTGGTAATTATTAGCCTGCAATGTTACATAATGATTGAAGTTCTTGTATTGCTATCACAGCGTTGGCTGTGTTGCTATTTCACAATAGCTTCAAAATATTTTATTTAATAAAAGAAAATAGTAAGAATAGTTATTAATAATCACTACAAGGTATGGCAGCTATTGAAATGACATGATAATATATCAGCACAATGTAAACACACTTATGTGTGTGGGGGACAGTATTTAATTGTTACAACGAGTTTTCATCTCTGAGAACTTGAGACTAATGGTTGCACTTTTCCAATCGTACCAAACAATTCCTTGAACATTACTAGTTGAAGTATTAAAATAACGACCATTAAGGCTTGAATAATAGCAGTTATTATACCACCAGGCACCAGTAAAGGACTGAGCACAGTTAGTTCCTGACCGTAGATCATTATCATTATCTCTTGTAGTGAATCTCCTTCCACTATGATACCAGGCCAGACTATCCGTAGCAGTACCAGAGTATCCTCCTACTGTTAGTATATATTCAGTACTACCATCACTAACATTAAATGTAGAGTAGTTAGCATAACTTGTGTTCCCCTCAAAGTCTCCCAGGTCCACTCTTAGTGTGTTTGATCCTTCTTTAGTAAGACGATGAATCTTGCTCAATCCTAACCAAAACTCACCAGTAAGGTCACCAAATCCATTCTCATAGTCAGTCCAGTATCTATAGAAATCAACAGATCCATCTTGTCTCCTCTGAAATACAGTCCATCCGCCACCATAAGTCTCTATATCACAGTATACCTGTGATCCAATAGTGTATAGTGTATATTATTAGTAACTAACTGTAAAAGGAGTCCCTCCATCAGGATTAATATTATACAGACCACTGGTAGTGCTACCATTGTTATACCAATCCTTACAGTCTGTAAGAACTAAATTTAGCA